TTCAGATTTTATAATGCAAGTGTTGTATGCATTAGCCATACTTAATTTAGATTTTCAGCTTCCTTAGGCCTATATATAGTGAGGTTCTCTAAGCTTGTAAACACACCCCAATGGGGGGAGCTCTCAAACACTTCTCTAGAGCTCCTTTCCCTTCTCTCCCTCAAATTCTCTTAGTTTCCCTTTGTAGTTCTCAATTGTTGTAATAAGATCATTCTATTAAATTTTCTTTGTACTAAATATCAAACACTTTTCCTTTCTCTTCTTCTAATTCTCTAAAGCTTTCAAACACATGTTCTTCCAAAATCCTCAAAGTTCTCAAACATCTCTCTACTTCCCTTCTCTTCCAAAAGTCTCCATGTCTCAAACACTTCACAAACACTTTTCTCTTCCTTCCCTAAGTTCTCAAATTCTCCAAGTTCACAAACATCCTCCAAGTTCTCAACCACTCTCTTCCAAATTCTCAAAGTTCCTAAACACTCTCTTCCAAAATCCACAAAGCTCTCAAAACACCTCTCCACTTTCTTCTCCCTCCTCAAAGTTCTCAAACACTTCCTTTCTTCCTCAAAGTTCTCTTAGTTTCCTTGATGTTCTCTTAGTTGTAATTTATTTTTCTTTGTTATGTAAATTCTTTTCTTAAGTTTTCAAGTTTCAATTATGGTTTTTGTTCTTATTCATTATGCATATAAGTTAATATGCTAGTTTGAATGATTGGTCACCATTTAGGCTTGCATGTTAGCTATCTTGGTTTGAATTAAGAGTATACACCATGCTTTAATTCGAATTGAACTATGAATAGGAAGAGTATGTATGGACATTCGACAACAGGGATTAGATACATACTTGTTTTTTTAAAATGTTCTTCTATACTTAATGGGTTCCTAATGCTTAATTTTAGGTTAGACAACAAATGATCAAATTAGGGAATTAGGAACACAAGGTTATGACCAAACACCATGGCTTAATCATACTTTAGCTAGAATCAATCCGTTAATCTAATTGAACTTGGGAATTTATTTGCCTAGGGGAAGTGAAAATCGGAATTCAATATGGCTAATGCATACAACACTTGTATTATAAAATCTGAATTGGTTGATGCACTTGAATTAGAAAATCTGAATTGGTTGATGCACTTGAATTAGAAAATCTGAATTGGTTGATGCACTTGAATTAGAAAATCTGAATTGGTTGATGCACTTGAATTAGAAAATCTGAATTGGTTGATGCACTTGAATTAGAAAATCTGAATTGGTTGATGCACTTGAATTAGAAAATCTGAATTGGTTGATGCACTTGAATTAGAAAATCTGAATTGGTTGATGCACTTGAATTAGAAAATCTGAATTGGTTGTCTCACCATGACCAAGCTTCCAACCAGCTCATCCTGAGGTCAGCATGACCAGCAACTTCAAGGGCTTACGAATTAGGCTAGGCTGAATCAAATGAAGACTTTAAGATGTCCATTGTGAAGTTCAGAATGTGTATGATCCAACCACACAAGTATTGGCCTAATCCAAGCTCGGAGGAGGAAGTTAAGGCCGAAACAAATTGCTAACTCGTTTTGCTCGCTGACAAAAATCCATCCTAAGCATGGTTCAGTGTTTGCTAGGTAACAGACTCCATATTTATCCAATGGGGCTGAATTTTGGATATGTTATAGTATACACCCATTGGAACAACTTTCATGAAGAATGTGGCCTCATCCGAGCTATGTAGGTTGCTGAAACAAAGCTTGAAATATGACCTACGGAACTGGACTGGCAGGGGGCTGAAGCCAAAATGAGTTTGTCTTTAAGCTCTTCTTCCCTTCATCCAAATTAGGCCTTAACATGCTTGAATTGCATGAATTATGCTCTCTTACTCTATTGGCCTACAAAACACACAAATAGAGGCAAATAACTCAGAATTATAGGAAACTAAGCAAAAGAAGTAAGTAAATTGGGCATGGTGAGCTTAACAAAGACCGGGAATTGACCCAGCACGTTGAGGTCATTTTGGGATCCAGCAACTCCAAAGAAGGCATGTCAAACCCATGTGTCGAAGTCAGCAACGGCTTCAAGGATGATAATTTTTTGGCCTTTTCTATTTCCGTAATCACCTTGCCAGACAGTTGGGCAATTCTTCCGTTGCCAGTGCATGCAGTCGATGCTACCAATCATTCCTGGAAATCCTCGAGATTCGGCTTTTTGTAGAAGCCGTTGGAGGTCCCTGGGAGTAGGTCTGCGCAGGTAGTCCCTAGTGTACAGAGTTTCAACTGCATCACAAAATCTTACTAAGGCCTCCAACGTAGTGGACTTCCCCATCCGGGCAATCTCATCCACCTGATCAGCAGATGCTCCATACGCCAACATTTGTATAACAGCTGTAAGCTTTTGCTCCGGAAGAAGTCCGAAAACCCTAGCAGCATCACACTTTTGAACAAAGTATGCATCATAATTGCAAATATCATGCATAACTTTATTGAACAAATGGGGTTGCATTCTATATCGCCTTCGAAAATCAACATCAGAGTACAAACAAGTTGGGATAAAATAATCTTCCAAAAGATTCTTACCCCGAGACTGCCTATGTCTGTCCACATTCCGGCAACGGCCGACTTGTGAACCACGGCGGCGACCTTGGTTCTCTTCATCAAGCAAAGCCACTGCTATGACAACTTGTTCATCTTCTTCTCTCTGCAACATATTTCTTTCTTATGCTCTACAGCTTCTCTCATTTGTTTCTCGCTCTTGCCTCTCCAAGCATCTCCTAAAATCTTCCATTTGAGAATGGAGTATAAATTCTAAACTCTCATAAATGAAAATATAGAAAGATGTGGTGTGAGAGGTATCCCTGTGGGCTAAGCTATTTAAGGGGGCAGGATTAACGTGGGGTCACTTCGCAACATGTAGTGCGATGCTTGAATCTAGGCTAAATTTCTTTGGTGGTAAGAGGAAGGGTTCAGTGTTGGGAAATTGCGCCATGATGGCAATCTTCTGGGTTATTTGGGGGGAAAGAAATAGGAGAATCTTTGAGGATGTGGTTGGGGATGAGGTTGAGCAGGTGTGGGATCGTATCCGAGTCTGGGCCTCTCTTTGGGCTTCTGTTTCAGCATAGTTTAGGGAGTTTAGTTTCCAGCTCATCCATCTAGATTGGAAAGCGATAGCTATGTAGTGTAGAGTTTTACCTATCTAATTGTGTGGTGGCCTCCTTGGCCATCTCCTATTTTGTTGGTGTGTGTTGCTTTATTGAATAATATTGTCTCTTTTTAAAAAAAAAAATGTGGTGTGAGAGGTATGAGATGACCCTCTAGTTTTATAGAAAATTTTGGCCAGATAGAGATGCCACGTGGCTTGATTTGATTGGATGAAAATCTTATATGAAATTTGAAATTCATCCGAAATTTGAAATTTGAACCCAAAAATCTTATCCGGAAATTTTATCCGATTATGAATAGTCTTGACATGTAGGAACCCAAAAATCTTATCCGAAAATATTATCCAAATTAATTATTGAGGTAAAAAAAATTGTGAAAAAAACAAAAAATTGAATAGTAATTGCCCTTTGCCATGGCAACGGGTGGAAACACACAATACTATTTGCAAGGGCAACTACTATTCACGTGAATAGTGGCTCCCTAACTCCCTCCTTGCCATGGCAAAGGGCAAATGGGTGGAGTTGCTCTTAGGAAGTGCTCCATGATTTTGTTTGGTTTTTGTAATTTTTGTAATTTTTTAAATTTTATTTTTGAAACCGTCTAGTATTTTAATGCTTGTGTATTTTGTGATATTTATTTGCTTTAGCAAGTAATTTTGGTTTTTCTTATTTTTTTATTATTATTATTAATTTTGTTTTTTTTCTCTTTTTATTTGAGTCTTGAAACCATAATCAATGGACAGAAACAGAGAAAATTGATAAGGAAAATGAGAATTGAAGGGTAGATAGTCTGGGGCAGAGAGTGGGTATGCTTAACAAGATCCTGGAGACTCAAGATTAACCAATAACTTCTCCGAGAACATGACTTAACAAACATACACTTCTACAATTGCAGAAACTAGCAAAGAAATCATCTCATTTCAGTGAAATGCGAAAACTAAAAGGAGCTAGCCCACTAAAGAAGAAGCTATGTACATGTGTCTAGTATAATCATTTAAAAAGTACACAAAAATGGAACAGCTAGAAACATACATGGAAAAATAAAAAAACATGGACCTAGATCTGATTTTACGAAAGCAAAACATGGCAAATAACTTAAGTTTGGGAGAGGTTGAGACCAAATTATACTCAAAGTATGTCACTATAGGCAAAGACTAATTGTTTACAAATCTTCAACATGGGTGAACTGAAAATCAGGTGTTTAATTCATAGTATGAGTCCCAATAGAACTGATGAAATCTCAAATTGAAAAGCTGGGCTTTCTGATATAAGGAGCAATAAAGACGTATAAGAGGAGATCTTAAATCTTATGCTTCATATAAAAAGTTGAACAAGACATGTAATTCAAATATTAAAAAAACAGAACAAGAACAAATGAGCTTGAAGCCAATGCATAGGAACTCACCAATTTGGTAGGTATGTGGCAGGAATAGGGACTCCAACTCTGGAGCTGTTTGAATACACGACTGCAATAAAGAACACCACAACTAATGAATTATTCTGAAATAAACCCAACCATCTCTAAATATATGAGTACAATCTGCTACCTACCTTAGTATACATAACAGGAGAAACTCCATATAGTAGAACAATAGGAGGAAAATAAAGAGGGTATCTTGTTTTTCATTCAATAGTAAGCTCTGTGGGTTACGTCGCAGCTCATTGCGCTACACTCGGCTTAGATATGCATTTCATACTAAAAAAAAAAAGTCAATATCTAAGAAATTAATATAGGTATTTGCAGTCATCAAATAAGTTCATGTGTATAACAGATTCTTAGAAACTTATTGCTTCAAATGAGAATTTGGTTCGGTTTCAAAAAGCAAAAAGCAATTCCTTATAGCTAAATCTTCTAGCCAAATCAAAATGGCTACTGCTACATCAAACCAGAGAAAGAGCTCCTCAACCTGATTACCAATTCACAATCTCCACTAACCAATAATGAGAATAAATTTCATCTTAGATGTTTGAAAATCAGATACGCAAGTCCAACTTCCTAATCCTAGTCATGTTAGACCCACTCTTTTCTTAGGCATTTTCCTACTAGCAAGAAAGCAAAAACATAAATGTCCAACTTCAAAATCCTAGTCATGTTAGAAAAACTCAACCAAAGGACATATGTATAATGTGTAACAGCAACCTTTAGAATACTCGCTTCTTCTCAGTTGACCTTTAAACACCGGCAAAGAGATCTTTTAAAATGGAAACAGGGGAATACAAAATTACATCAATAACTGATACTTAATCACAGTACATAACCAAATATCTTTTGCAGACTAGAGACCTTATCAATTTAAGTGAATTCATTGAAGTCCTCCGACATATGAAAAGAGAAGGAAAAAAATTTATAATTCAGGGTTCTTTAAAAATTAAGTTTCAAAAGAATATGAGCCAAACAAGAATTTTTAAAAGGCACAACAACGAAATAAAATTGTGGCACAATTTTTTATTTCTAATAAAGGGAGGGAAAACAAAGGATGCTCAAACCTGCCATCTGCAACAACAAATTCACAGCCTGGCGTTGGTCCCTTGGTTGTCTGAAGGGGCCTTCAAGTCCTTAATAGCTACAATTTTCAAATGGCAGTGCTCAATGAAGGTTGCTTCTCTTTTATTTCTTTTCACAGTTTACATAAATGAAATATAAAAAGACCTTAAGATTTAAGTTCTGGAATGAAGGCTTAACAAAGAAATCTGAAAAATGCTGAATCATTGCAAGATCCCACAAAGAAACAAAGCATCAATTACAAGACACTACCAGGCAACGCAAGTACAAGAAATCTTTATATATAAAAAAAGTAAATCTTACCATTTCCATGATTCCAAACTCGTAACTCAAAATATTTAGAGAAGTTTTCATACCTAATATAGAGGCAGCAGATGAGAAGTGGTTGATGGATCGTCGACCACCTCGTTAATAAGACAAAAACCAACCAAAATTTATTTTTACAGAATCAAAATCAAATAATTATAGAAAAATAGTTAAATAAACAAAATAATAATAAAAGCACCTTTGAATCAGAGTTGGTATGTGGCTGAGCACATTGCAGAGAATCTCTAGTATATGTTGCTGTAGCAGCAAGTGGTCGGTATCGAAGAAGGATGATTTTGGGAAAGAAAGTGAGAAATAAGGGCCATGAGAAATCTGAAGGGGGATGAAGAGATAGTGGGTATATAAGTGATTGGCCGGCATCGATGGAATTTCATTGCGAGCGTCCATGGAGGACTAAGTTGAAGGCATCGGTGGTAGGCCTGGGCGCGGTCCAGTTTGGACCGGTTTTCGCTTAAAATTGTAACCGAAACTGCACTGTTCATCCGGTCCGGTTTGATCCGGTTTTTAACTAAAATGAGTGGCAAAACTGAACTAATTCGGACCTATAAAGACCGTTTTGGTTCTTCCGGTTCACGGTTTCAATACTGGTTTTTTTTTTCCTTACATGCACATATCTAATCGCTTCCTCTGCAACCGAAAAACCCTATAAGAAAAATCTCAAATATAAACAAAGGAATACAAATAAACCAAGCTAAAAACATATTAAAAAATAACATATCTAAACTGCTAAACATATTCAACAAACAAATGCCCATATATCTAATTTTAGATCTACAAGAAGAAAGAGAGAGAGAGAGAGAAACAGAAATAAACCAAACACCAGAGAAAGAGAAGAAAATCGCAGAGAGAGAAGGAGAAAAACCTGTGCAAGAGAAGAAAACTGCACCAGAGAAAGAGAGAGGAAAAAGAGAGAAAAAAAAAAAGGAAGAAGAGAAGGAGAGAGAGGGAGAGAAAAAGAAGAGGAAGAAGAGACGGAGAGAGAGGGAGAAAAAGAGAAAAGGAAGAAGATGAGATGGATAGAAAAAAAAATGATAGGAAGAAGACGAAGAAGAGACTTAGAGTGAGGGAGAAAAAGAAACATGAAGAAAGAAGAAAGAAAAGTGGGGGAGATGAAAAGATGAATCTGACAGTAAAAATAAAGTAACATTGAAAAGATGAATCTGACAGGAAAAATAAAGTAACATTGAAAAGATGAAAGCATGTCTTGAGTCAATTTTGGGACAATAAGGACCTGTTCGGTAACGGTTTAAGAGGTTGTTTTCATTTTCAGAGAACAAAAATAAGGCAAAAACACGTTCAGTGGCCCAAAAACAGAAAACACTGAGAATGTTTTCATAAAATGAAAACAAGTTCATGTGTACTTGTCGAAAACAGAAAAAAGTTGTTTTCATTCTCGTGGAAAACGTTTTCATAAAAATAACTCACATATTATTATTTCAAATTGTACTACCAGACACATTTTCATTGTTTTTGTTTTCTGAAGATGTTTTCTAATTAATCTACTAGACACATTTTCATTTCCTGAAAATGCAAATTCGTTTTCTTGTTTTCATTCTCTGAAAATATTCTCAGAAAACATTACCAGATGGGCCCTAAAAGAACAATATTTGTTTTGTGTTTTTTATGGTGTAAAGTAAACAACAAAAGTTGGGCATGGAGTTAGCTGAAGTTGGGCTTGGAGGAGATAAAACCAGATCCAGAACCGATCTAAACCGATCCAGTTCGGTTTTTGAATTTTTTTGGTTGACTTTTTAGTCAACTCAATTTTTTCGATTTTTTTCAATTCGGATCGGCTCGGTTTTGCAGTTCTCCAATTCTTATGCCCACCCTTAATCGGTGGTGTGGAAGATGGAGATAGTGGATACGAGAGAAGTAAATTGGGGAAAGTAACGGGTTAGGGAAATTTTTTAATTTATACTCTCCCAGAATCAGCCATAACCAAACTATTTCGTTGCCAACATATCAAATAAGGAAAATGGCACCATTTTAATACTTTATATTCAAGCTTAAAGGCGACCAATTTTGAGATTGGTCGCCAATTCATAGCAACCAAATTTTTTTGTCGCCATTCGGACATATTTTGTGGTCTTCATCGCCCATAACCTTGTTTGGGGACCAAATTTGGGTTGGTCACAAAATCTTTCATCGTGAAAGAGGTTTTTTCTTATAGTGTATAAAACAATCTCATAATCTCAACATAATCAACATAACTCAAATAACAGTCAAGACTCATTAATAAGGTCGGTCTAATACTCCTCAAAGGATGAAACAACCTCGGAAGAGTCACGGTCAACCAATGGGTCAAACTGCCCTAACTTTGTCAACCAAGCCCGCGAGACCCACAACCTCTGATTTCCGATTCGAAAATTCCTTGGGGTTCAACAGGCTTTATTATACATATCCTGCAAGTTTAGTCTGAATTGAATGGTCGGATCGCTGGCGATCGCACGATCGAACGGTTACCGTTTAACCTGATCTTTGAATTATTGAACTGAAGCATCCGGGGCTCCAATTCACGATCCGCGAATTCCTACACAATACTAGAGGTGCCTAGATTAACATATATGAAAATGGAGTTGATCCAACGGCCCAAACATATCGAACCTTAATAACGCCTAATATGCGTAATCCGATCGACAGTCAAACGGTAACCAAATTCAAATCCGAGCATACTGTTGTGCTCGGCAAGACATGTGGATCATTTTAGGACCAAATGGGTTACCCAAACAGTGCCCACGCGCTGGCAGCACATGGGTGTCCAGAGAAATCCCGATGATCAGAAAATCTCACAATCGTCGGTCAAGACCTATACCTACGTGACCAGGACAATGAGTGGAGCAACTTTTGTTCTTGGACCATGCCCAAAAAGTGACCGAAACTTGTCGAAAACACAAGTCGAAAATCGGCCAAACTTTAATCGATAAATCAAGTTCCAAAACATAAAAATCAATCATAATTAACCCAACCATCAGCTAGAACACATTAAGAGGATGAAAAAGCATACCTAGATCGGAGAAATTGGTGGCCGGAATCGCTAGAACGAACGCCAGAAGTTTTACCTAAAAACCAGTCGTTTTTCTCATTTTTCCGGCGACCTGGGCTGCTGATGGTGGCGGCAATGGGGTGGGGCTGGATGAGGGAAGTGAGCTTGACGTTTTGGTACTGGTCTCATGAGATTTGGTGGCCAGCTGTAGCTATAGTTCGCAAGGGAGGGGGGTGTCGGGGAGAGAGAGCGAGAGAGAAAGAAGAAGAAAAAAAATCATATTTTTAAAAACCATTTTCAAAATATTTATGGTTATGCCACTAGGCTTCCGTAGATCATAACTTCTTCGTTTCAACTCTGATTTGAGCCCACTACGTGTCTACGAACTCGTATCGATGCGATCTACACAATAGTGTCATTCATTTCCCCAAAATCCTTCCAGATTAAAAAGTGACCAAAATGACCCTATCCCCGAGAGCAAAATTATAATTTCATAATTAAATAAATAAATAAATTTTTAATGGACAATTAAAATTGGGTCGGGGTGTCACAATGGAATCTAAAAACAAGGACAAGCTTTCTTTACCACAGCCCAGACGCAGTAGAGCAATAGAATCTTGTAGACGGATCATAATAATATCCATGCTATAATAGTACCTAGAAGGATAGCGTACATAGACAATGGGGATGCCCTGCACCAACGAACGGTACCCCTAGCAATTCGAATGCCAGTGTTAAAAGTAGATATCGAAATTAATTATTAGAATAAAAATACTCAAATATACAAATGAGATCCTTGTAAATTAATAAACCCTATTGGGATGGAAACAACACTATAAAAAAAAAGGGAAGATACACAGTCTATTCAAAAGACAAGGCATCACTCGAATGGGGAATCGCCTGCTCTTCAATGGATTTCTATAAAACTCAACTAATAAATGTGGATGAGATGCTAACCTGTATAAAATAGTACCAAACTTCCACAGTTGCAACCCTCCCCTTACACACACACATAGGGCACTGTTTTTCTCCATACAATCTGGAAAAGTAAAATAGTTATGTTGCTGTTTGTACCATATTTTGAAAATGGACCACAAATGGTCTATTTCTCAAAATAATATACCTTCAGGTCCAGGCCCAGCCTAAGGACCCCTTTCGCTTAGTGGGCCATCAATAGATAAAAGAAATTAATAAAAAGCCCATAAAGATAGGGAGCCCAGACCTTTGAGTCACACTAAAGTTAAAAAGATCGATAACCGTTACACATTGACCCACTTGAGGGTCTGAAGGAGATGGTCCTTCTCGCCCAGCAAGGAAACAAGCTGTACAAAAGCCACCAGAACCAGAAAGAGCCGAATTGCCAACCAGACTTCCGAGTACAAAGGACTCAAGTCAGGGGACTATCGCAAAAGACCAACAATTTTTGTCAGAAACATCCATCGTCCCATCTATGAACTAGTTCAAATAAGTGGATCAACAGACTTTGGATAGCAGCCAAATATCCTTTTTCAGCCTTCATCATTTGAAGCTCTCTCCTTGCCTATAAATAAAGAGCCTCCGCCACATAAGAAGAGGACTCTCTCTCCAAACTAGACGCAACGTCTCGAAAATACTTGAAGAACTCAAGATCTTTTCAAACCAACCTGCTTAATTTCCAGATAACTAGTTGACATCTTTTTTTGCTCTGCCATCTTCATGGTATGATTTTCTTTTAAAACGATCAGTTTGAATTCATGTACTTGTCTGACTAGAGAAATCTCTAGCCCTTCCTTGCTTTGTAATTTATATTTTTGAATTAGTTGAATGGATAAATTAAGAACTCTTATCTTCCTTTTGCTATCAAGTTAAAATCAAATAAAGAGATCTCAGAATTTATTTTAACTGTTTCATTAAGCACTTGTCATTTAATCGCTTTCATATATATATATATTATAAATGCTTCGGTAGATTAATTTAATTTCCCGTTTTCACACTTTTTAAATTTATCATTCAGACCTAAAGGAAGGGTCTAGGCCCGAATAGGGCTATATTAGTCTGAAAAATAGAAGGTTGATTGGGCCCGAATTACATCATTGGGACTGAATTGCCTATTGCCCTAGTCGGAGGGCTGCTTGAATTTGAACCAGGTTTCTAAACCCTAACAGACACAATCTCAGTTTTTCCCCTTGTTTGATCAGGTATTGCTCATACTTGTCAAGCTGACATACACAAATGAAAGAATATTGAAGTCCTCTTAGTTGAGGCATAGAAAAGAACTAATCTAGGCCAGTACCCCCATTGGAGCACAATGGCTTGAATAGAGGTCTAGAACAAAGCGCAAACACAACAAATCAACTCATTGTACCACATACACCAGGTCTATTGGGCTGGTCTCATACCCAATAGTGGCACGCCTAACCCACCCAAAATGTTAAAAACCCACTGTAGCAAGCAACTGATAATAACCCACCCAAAATGTTAAATTTTCTAATCAAAATCAACAGAAAAAAGCTTACCCTCAGAATAAGCGTTTAAGTTGTTTGAAGGCAGTGAGCTGACTCCATCAGAATTAGGGCCACAGATCACAGTACTTCCTTCAGAAGATGGTTTAGCAATTACATGTTCATCATCTTCCGCAAATATATCAAATGCATCAACACCATTACTTGTGGTTTCTGCAGCTGGTGCATTAGAATTGGAAGTACCAACAGCAGTTTCGGGCAGTATTGAAGAGGGAACTCCAGGACCGGTTACATCAGAGGAAGTGCCCCACTCCATGCTGAGAACAGATTTCCCCTGGTATGCACTAGTGGATGTGCCTTCCCTTCTTGCCCGAGCTAAGCTCTCATATCCTTCTGAAAAAGAAAAGATAAAAACAATTATATATAAGGAGCATAGCTCGCTATAATTGGTGTCATGCTGTATTTTAGAATTCACCCATGTAATGTTAGGTTGTTTTATCTGTGTTGCTGTTTTCGTTGTGTAGTCCAGGTTGTCCAGTGGACAACTTGCCCATGTTTTGAAATGTTTCTTTTTATTAGTGAAAGCTTGTTTCTTATAATGATCTAAAAAAGGAGTGTAAGTGGATAAAATTGGAGTGGAGAAATCACCACGAAAAGAATGATTTCCCCAAAATGATTATTATTCCAGGGCCCTTTTTGTGCAATTCAGATAACAATTCCTTTCAGTCTGATGTCAAGGAACCTTTTTTTCTTTTCTTTTCTTTTCAAACAGACAAGCATCTTCTTTTGAGACTATAAGGTGAACTTGCTGAAAGTGTTAATTGTCTCTTGACAGGTTTCACATTGATGATTTTGTTTATTTGCTTTTTTAAAACTCTCGTTCTTATGTAATTGGATTGTTTGCTCTTGCCTTTTCTAAATGACAGCTATTACTTGCTGAAAAGCGAATTATAGAAGAAAACCTCTATACCTGGAGAAATGGAGATTATTCCCTATAAGTGTATTAGCACGAACATAGAGGAAAATAAACTACTTAAATCTTATATTGACTAAAACACATTAGATGGCTATTTTTGTAATATTCTTGTAACCAGTTTTACCATAAATTTCAAACTTGAGAGCACCTGGTTTTGGGATGATTATGTGTGATTATAGTTTATTTTCATGTTGTTTGAGATATCTTTCAAATGGTTGTTCCCCATTCCATTGGGATTTATCTTCTATATAAGCTAAACATTCATAAGAGAAATACATACAACCTCAATTAATGAACTGTACTAGCAAAGATTGCTTTCATTTAATAGTCTTCTTCCTAAAAGACATTGTCTATCGTGGTTTCCATATTTTTCCTCTTGTTTGTTGATGTTGCCAGTCATCGTTCACCTAGCAGTCTCTCTTTCCTCCGCGAGCCTCATCAACGTTCGCCGAGCCTTCTCTGTCGTGCTACACTGCCGTTATTCCCATTGCACAGCCCTTGTTTCTTCCTTTGTGTTGCCGACTTGGTATCGACCACTCAAGACCTATCACTGTGTTGCCGACTTGGTATCTCTGTGTTGCTATTTTGGTATCGGCCTCTCACGCTCTATCTCTGCTCAACCGGTGTTCTCCTCCCCTCTTAAGCCCAATCTCTTTCTTTGATTTTATTGCTGGTCTCTGTCTTCTTCGCTGTTCTTTTGCGTTGCCTTTCTTCTTCTTTGTTACTAGTATTGTCTTCCTTTTTTTATAATTCTTTTATATTACTAAGGTATTCTCTTCTCTTCTTTTCAATTGTGTTTTCTCTCTCCCAGTCATGGGTTGGCTCTGGCCTCTTGAGTTTCCTTCCTTCCATGAGCCCATGCGCTCTTTCGCATCTTGTGTTCTTTCTCCCTCTCTTGACTACTTTCTCCTTTTAATGGGTGTTCACTTTTCTCCTCTTTTTCTCTCCTTTTTCCATCTTTATTTTGAAAGGATTTTCTCTCTATGTGTGTTTTGCCCACACTCTCTTTTCATTTCTCTATCTCACTTGGTTTCCTTCTTTATTTCTTATTATTGTTTTTTGGGTCAATAATTCCTCTTTATTTTAATCTTTATGGGCCTCTATGCTCTTGTGATGATCTTTTCTTTATTACTTCTCTGTTCCCACGTGGTTTTCTTCCCCATACCTTATTTTATTGTTTCTATGGTGCTTTGAAATTCAAACTTGCCCATGCTCTCTTTTTCTTTTCTTTGTGTCCCAAGTTGGTTTCACCTCCTATCCTTTACTGTTGTGATGCACCCTCTCTTAACCCCATTATTCCCTTCAAATATTCCTTTTGCTCTCTCTGCACGTGTCCCTTTTCTACTTACCATGTGATAAATTTTCTTTTGTTTCCACTTCCTCTCCTCCTATGGGTGTAACTTTTTTTTATTTTGGACAACTTTTATTTTTCTACGTGGCTACTTCTTTTCTCGCTTACCGCATGCTCTTTATCCTACCTAGACGGTGATTCCTAGGTAGAGTTATGTTTCTCAGGTGCCTAAAATTGTTTCCTAGGTCCATTTAACTTATATGTCAACTTGTCATTTAATTCCTTCCTTCCATGAGCCCATGCGCTCCTTCACTTCCTGCCTTTCAATAGGCGTTATGTTTACTTTGTTTCTCTCATGCCGCTGTTGCAACTATGGAGATTGGAGTTCTTTTTGGTTCCCCTTACTGGACTACTACAACCGACTGCTGCCGCCATCTACATTACTATGTAGTTTCTTCATGCAAATCTTGTTATGCTGTGTGCGCTTGATTTGCGGGGGAGTATTAGGGAGTTACGATAGTATTTTAGTTACAATAGTTAATCCTACTAATGATAGGAAATGGTCAGTTGTCAGTTACGTTGTTATTAGGTCATAACTCCATATTTATGTTTATGATAATGACTTGCTGTAACTGTAGATTATTATATATATATATATATATATATATATATATATATATATATATATATATATATATATATATATATATATATATATATATATATATATATATATATATATATATATATATATATATATATATATATATATATATATATATATATATATATATATATATATATATATATATATATATATATATATATAGTATAATGATCAAATGAATAATATAAGAGAAAATCAGTTTCTACACAACTATTGGTTTTGTCCTTCTAAAAGAGTGGTAATGTTCTTCTTGCTGGTGCTAATAAGATTTGGTTTGGCTAACATTGTTGTGACTGAGTGTCAAGCTTTACGTACGGGAAGGTCTTGCCTTTGCTATTAACAGAGGATATGAGAAAATCCAAGTGGACTGTGGAAGGAGATTCTAAATTAGTCATTGATTGCATTCTCGGCCAAGCCCAAGCTCCATGGACTTTATGGCTGCTCATGCAGGATATTCACCATTTGAGCTCCTTCTGAGAAGTGCACTTTCGCCATGCTCATAGAGAAACCAATTTTTTGGCAGGTATATGGAAGAACGGCCTACCCCCCTTATTGTTGTTAATGCTTTCTATTTTGATCTCTTTGGGCCCCCCCTTGTATTAGGGGCTTTTTGTTGTAAGTGACTTTGTTTTCATCTCAAGAAAAAGAAAAATACCTAAAATTTGTTCTAAGTAGATTTGCTTAAAAATTAAACCCAAGCAAGTATTTCCTTCAAATTAAACCTAATAGAGCAGGTTGTCCCCAAGTTGGTAATTTGGCCCAAATAAGAGAGGTAGAGAGAGATGCTGCAAATCTCATGCGGGAGCGACCCATTTGAGATTACCCATTTGTATAAAATAGGTAAGAATTTCTCGGTAATCATTGCATGATAGTAAAAGGAAAAAGCAGCTCTGAACTCACAAAACCCAAAAGACAACAAAAAAGAAATTTCTTTAATTAAAAAAATACCCGTCTTGTTGATTGCAAATATGTGTTACCATACAAGAAGATAATTCTGATCAGTTAAACGCTGAGATTTTCCCTTCGTACTATGCTTAAATTGGTGTGTGTGTGTGTGTGTGAGAGAGAGAGAGAGAGAGAGAGAGAGAGTAACAATCCATACTAAGTTGTACTATTAAACTATGGGGGAGGGAGCGAGAGAGAAACAACAATCCATACTAAGTTGTACTATTAAACTATGGGGGCATCAAATATCTAATCTAACCCATCAACAATTCACCCTAAACTTTTGGCTTTATGGTCTGTACAAACTCAGTGAAGCAGCAAAACTCTTTCCTACTCAATTCACACTGGTAGCAGCCTGGTGAATTTCATCATATGCGCCCGTCTCTGCATTGAATGAGTACCTATATTTGGAAAGAAAGAAAAAACATGTATAAGGTCGCAAGACACATCTTTGGCAATTACATGAACCAACTGACCAACCCATTAACCAAAGTAGTGTAAAACTTCCTTTCACATCTATTCCAATAACTCAGTAGATTACGGTGGTCAAGCCAAACTTTCATTTAAATCTGTGTCATCTTTCTATTATTGCCCCCAACATTATTAGTAAATCCAGAAAGTTTTCAGTTGCTATGCCTTGAGTTGTCATGACTTGTAATTGGTAAACCATGTTCCTGACCAATAAAACCCACCACACATAATGACAATTTCAGATGGAAACTACTTCAAATCTAATACACTCGAAGTCGAACACAACAGCTGTAAGTACTGCAAGTACCCCTAACAGACTTTATTTGCCATCTAAACCACTCTTGCTTTCCTTTTTTCTGGATGGGAGAATAAGTAATTGAAATTAGTTGTGATTTATGTGCTAGTATTGCTCAACAATGCATGGTTATGCAGTAAACTAACCACATAGTTACAATGAAGAAAGCAAGGTATGAAAGGCCCAGAATCCCAGATAGCGAATGGGCTAATAACAAAAATGTATTTGAAATTTAGTGTGAAGTGCAGCTAGATCTACTAATGTTTAAAGAACTTAAAGGACGTAAGCCTAGAAACTTCTAACCCTTAGACTATATAAAGAACTGAGAATAAACCAGGACCTATCCAACTAACAAGTAACCAACCAGTATGAAAATTCAAAACATGCAAACAAAGACTTATCCACCCAAAACAGAGCATTGCATAAAGAACAAAAAGCAATGGAATCTAAAATCAAGGACAAGCTTTCTTTACCACAGCCCTGACGCAGCAGAGCAATAGAATCCTGTAGACGGATCATAATAACATCCCAAACTGCTGCTATAATAGTACCTAGAAGGATTAACCAAACATAGGTTATATTAGTCCAAAATAGCCACATAAAAATTTGCTCAGTTCAGATCACTATTTAGCATCAAGGAAAAGCAACTGGACCAAGGATCACCAGTCAGACCAATGGATTTCGAAAGTAATTAAATATTAAAAGTAAAATTCGAAATTAATTATTGGAATAAAATTACTCAAAATATACAAATGAAGAATAACGAATACGATTTCCGTAACCAGAGGATTTTCTAAAGCACTGATTTATGCATACAATGTTTGTAGTATTTTGACAAATTTAATTCATGTATATGTATATATTAGAACATTTCCATAGCGTACATAGACAATGGGGATGCCCCGCATCAACGAACGGTACCCCTAGCAATTCGAATGCCAGTGTTAAAAGTAGATATCGAAATTAATTATTAGAATAAAAATACTCAAATATACAAATGAGATTCTTGTAAATTAATAAACCCTACTGGGATGGAAACAACACTTAAAAAAAGGAAGATACAGTGTTCAAATGACGAGGCATCACTCGAATGGGGAACTGTCTGCTCTTGAATGGATTTCTATAAAACTCAACTAGTACATGTGGATGAGATGTCAACCTTTATAAAATAGTACCAAACTTCCACAGTTGCAGCCCTCCCCTCACACACACACACACACACATACATAGGGCATTGTTTCTCTCCCTACAATCTGGAAAAGTAAAATAGTTATGTTGCCAAACTCTCAGACAGGATAACATTTCCCTATGTAGTTTAAGGTTTAGGCCGGACCAAGTTGCTTAGATTGGCATCAATCTTTTATCATGTTTCCATTTTTTTTTTAATCTCATTTCTGATTGAGTTGATTACTCTAGGGTGTAAAATCTTTTTTTAATCACCGTATGAGTTTAGATTTTAGTATTACATCTTGAGTTTTTGAGAAATAAAGCTTAAAATCTAAGGGAAGAACCTGTGCGGCTCAACTGGTACTAGTAAAAAAATGAAAATAATTGCTCTCCAAGTCAAACGACCTATGGTGCCAATTGACAGACGTACACATACAGATGAAAGCTAACAGTTACGTCAGAGCCATATTGGGACTCGGGTTTCATCCAATACGGACGCCGAATGACCAGCACTGTAATTTTTCCTCCTAACAGTCGACCGGCACAGGTTCCTTGCTTATATTTTAGTTTTTAACTGTCGAGTTTTGGTCCCAAGAGTTAAAAGCTAAACTCTAAGCTCATAAGGTGATTCAACACCTAAGGCAGTCAACCCTGTCGAGAATGGGATAAAAAAAAAAAGAGATGAAATATATTGACTGGCTTCCCATCGAAGCAACTTGCTCCTTGCAGCCTACAAAATCTGGAAATTTAAATCCGGAAAATATATATATATTCTATAATACGATGCCTTGCCGATCGCCTGGCCAGTGCATGCCAGTTGACCGGCAGTGCAAAAATCTGGTTCGGACATCAGATTTAAATCTGGTTGACTGGCAGTGCAAAAATTGGTTAACCATATAATAGAAAAGCTGTATACACACACACATACACATTTAATAGCAATAACAACAAACCATCTAAAAGTGGCTAAAGAACAAATGCCAGCAAGCAAATGAATTCAATTAGTCTCATTCCATTCCCCACAAAGAGCATTTCTCCACCAGGTCTAAAGAATAGATGATTAGCATTTACGGACTAGACAAGAAGCAACTAAATACTATTATGTATCAAGTCAATATCAAGCGTACCAAATAAATAAAAGAAAACAAAATCAATGAGTAGACTATACAAGTACAAGCAATCAAGGATTTTATTTATTTATTTGGGTGGAGAGAGAGATAGAGAGATGTAGATAGAGAGAGTACCCAGAAGACTCATCAAACACATAATCATTTTGCAAAACTCCATCTGAAAGAAAAGAAAAAAAAAAGTTAGCAAGCAACTGCTAATAACCCACCCAGAATGTTAAATTTTCTAATCAAAATCAACAGAAAAAAGCTTACTCTCAGAATAAGCGTTTAAGTTGTTTGAAGGCAGTGAGCTGACACCATCAGAATTAGGGCCACAGACCACAGTACTTCCTTCAGAAGATGGTTTAGCAATTACATGTTCATCATCTTCCGCAAATATATCAAATGCATCAGCACCATTACTTGTGGTTTCTGCAGTGGGTGCATTAGAATTGGAAGTACCAACAGCAGTTTCGGGCAGTATTGAAGAGGGTACTCCAGGACCGGTTACATCAGAGGAAGTGCCCCACTCCATGCTGAGAACAGATTTCCCCTGGTATGCACTAGTGGATGTGCCTTCCCTTCTTGCCCGAGCTAAGCTCTCATATCCTTCTGAAAAAGAAAAGATAAAAACAATTATATATAAGGAGCATAGCTCGCTCTAATTGGTGTCATGCTGTATTTTAGATTTCACCCATGTAATGTTAGGTTGTTTGATCTGTGTTGCTGTTGTCGTTGTGTAGTCCAGTTTGTCCAGTGGACAACTTGCCTATGTTTTGAAATGTTTCTTCTTATTAATGAAAGCTTGTTTCTTATAATGATAAAATAAAATAAGGAGCAAACTTATGATTAACAACCACCGATCCTTTTCCTTTCTTCTCTCTATTTATCTTTTCTTTTAAAGATGTGAATCTTCATTATGAAAAGAATGATTTCCCCAAAATGATTATTATTCCAGAGCCCTTTTTGTGCAATTCAGATAACAATTCCTTCAAGTCTGATGTCGAGGATCTTTTTTTTCTTTTTTTTTTCCTTTTCAAACAGACGAGCATCTTCTTTTGAGACTAAGGTGAACTTGCTGAAAGTGTTAATTGTCTCTTGACAGGTTTCACATTGATGATTTTGTTTATTTGCTTTTTTAAAACTCTCGTTCTTATGTAATTGGATTGTTTGCTCTTGCCTTTTCTAAATGACAGCTATTACTTATTGAAAAGCAAATTAAAGAAGAAAACCTCTATACCTGGAGAAATGGAGATTATCCCCTATAAGTGTATTAGCACGAACATAGAGGAAAATAAACTACTTAAATCTTGGATTGACTAAAACGCATTAGATGGCTATTTTTGTAATATTCTTGTAACCAGTTTTACCATAAATTTCAAACTTGAGAGCACCTGGTTTTGGGATGATTATGTGTGATTATAGTTTATTTTCATGTTATTTGAGATATCTTTCAAATGGTAGCTCCCCATTCCATTGGGATTTATCTTCTATATAAGCTAAACATTCATAAGAGAAATACATACAACCTCAATTAATAAACTGTACTAGCAAAGATTGCTTTCTTTTAATAGTCTTCTTCCTAAAAGACATTCTAAAATCAATGGTTTTCTAAGTCCTAACACAACCCACCATCAATTACTATCTCAAAATCATAATTGATCCAAAATATTATTCGCAGGTTATTGAAAACAGCAAAAATAACTCAGATTTCCAAACTCCCTTGTCTATTTCAATTCCAAAGCCAAACTCAGTCCATCTCAACTTACTTTTCCAATGCTTCTTGTTTCATTAAATCATAACCCTAGTGTCCTCAAAAACCGCATTGTTGCTTCTGTTCCAGATATCAACTTCTCTTTTTAAATTTTACCAACAAATTCTTTGGGAAGTTGAGCATTCACACTTTTGGCATCCATAACCTTTAACTTCTCCCAAAAACAGGCCTTGCAATTCAAGCCCTTGCAACCTATATTGATCACAGCATCCTTGATTTATGATTTCTGAAGAGCTTTCCTACACCATTTGGCACCAAACACCTCACATAAAAATAAACAGACATGGCAAAGAGTGGTGCTATTGACACCTCCAATATGTTCAGCCCATCCAGCTACTATTCCAATCTCCACAGAAGTTTTCAAAAAATTTTAAAAATAAATAATAACTCAAACTTTACTATGCCACCGACCAAAAATCCTCAAACTACCCCTACCCTTTCTTTTCCACTGCCCTTACCATAATTTCTTTTCTTTACCAAGTACAGACGCTGTAAGCCATGACCACCACCATGGGTGCAGTGCCCTTACAAAAAAAATAATTAATTGAAAAAAGCCGACATGGCTGTGCGCACCATAAACTGGAAAAACCAGGCTACGGATGCTATAGCCTGGGCCCTGCCAGAGTCAGATCTCCAATGGAAGGCATAATTTTCTTTAAGTTAAAAGTGTAAATCTTACTAAAACTAAACAACACAAAGAAGCTGACAAGGCACATAACCATGTTTATGCATGCATACACAAAAAATAGTTTACAGAGACAGACCATGATTATAGCTTCTCCTCTTAAGCTAGGGGGATTAAAAGATTGATAGAAGAAGAAGATTAAATACCAAAATTCAGAAAAGTGAAAGATAAACCATATCACTGACCTGCCTCACGCTCAAACATCTCTTTCTTTTCATGATAGACATCTGCAAAACAAAACTTCAACCAATAAGCACTCTGCCAAAACAGAAACTGATTCCTTACCAAAGGTTTACGGAAATAAAACATATTTTCTAAGTGCCTGTACTAGATCTGACTAAAACAACTATGCCAGATTATACAAAACTAATGCAGTTTTCCTAGAACAATAACACACTTAACTGGATTCACCATTATCCATCAGGTTCGTGGCATCTTCAGTTAATTGGTCAAATACACGCTTTGTTTCAGCCGACATCTTCTCCTTCTTGTTATTTGAAGTTCCCTTCAATCTCCTCAAAGCTTGTAAAACCTGCCACAGTAGAAATTTTTACTTCATACAATTGATGTTGGAAGTGGTAGGCAATCAACCAAAACATAACTGCTACTTTAGTGCAATTTAAGTCACCAAAAACAATATTGCATTTGAATTATTTACAACAATCCTTTGCGTTCCAAACAAGCACCCTTCTGCATTCATGCAGTCAAAGTGCCAAAATTCCTACAACCACATATGATGGGAGTGTAAGGCCCTTAATTTTCAGGACCAAATTTCACATTGTATAATGCTCCTTGTGTTGTATGCCAATCTCGCATACGATTATTTTCTATTGTTCTTATCTTCACGATATGACCATATTCTACTGTTCTTGCTTTGCTAAATATTATGCTAGGAAAATCTAAAATTTGCCAAGTGTTATGTGACAGGCCCAAGCGCAACAAAAGTTGAAGATCCAAGTCCAAGGAGGCTGTCTAGTCCTGTGGCCTACCCTTAGAGAGGTCCAGACTTACATCTGTCAGGTCCAGCCTTATCCACAGTAAGTAGACCCAACTGTAGGATTCACTACCTAAGTGTACTTCTGATGGACCACTTGCATTTTCTCCATAAAGACTCAATTGTTAGGACGGTTTTGCTTCAGGATAAGAGAGGTCGATTAGTTCATTTTATCTTAGCCCAATTATTTCGCTAAAGCTAGTGAAAACCGTCCATTATAAAAACTAGGCCCTCATTTGGTTTGGCTAGATCAAAATTGACGCCATCAAGGAGGAAGAAAGATCCATTGGAGAAGCCAAACCTTCTCAAATGTACCAGAGGAGCGTTCAATTTTCAAACAAACCCAAACAACCAAGGAGCTTCACCACCATTTTCCCACTCTAGTTGAATTGCCATCACGAGAGTAAGAAGAGGATTACTATTTGAGACATAGAGGACAAACTCGTAGGCACTGCTTCACTTTTCTTATACCTTTGCAATCCTAGGTCATCAATGTACACTCCAGCCTATGTCATAGGTTTTATCATTTTTGCAGTATTTTATAGAGTTTAATGGTTTCTTCTCATACAACACAGACAATGTTAGATTTAGCACTTCACATAGTTGAAATTTCAAATGAAAACAATTAATTCAAAGAAGAAGACTGAGTAAGATGAATGCTAGTATACCGTTTCCCCTGGCTCAAGCACATCAGCAATACGTCTTTTAATCTTCCCAACATCATCAGAAGACAAATCTTGGACATCATCATCATCTTTTGTTACTGCAAACCCTTTTCCAGCATATTTTGTATCAACTTCAACGCTATCAAGCCATGCATCCTACAAAATTCCACATTAAATTGAGAAACTGAACACATAATTGTAACCATTGTTTTAAAAGGCGAGTTGTAAGTGTGCCTTCAGGAGCACTTTCCAGCTTGTAATAAGCTCTTGGCTATGCTGTGTTATTTAGCTTTAACAATATGTAAGTAGCTCTGTACCTCCCAGCTTAATTTTTTTTTTTTTAATCTATGTGAACTGCATGCAAAAGCACTAGAATTACAAAGATGATGGGATATCCGTGATGAAATTATGTAGCAAAAAGTGGCGGAAGAAAGGAATGAAATATAGATAATAAGCAGTTTGGGGGTTGATTATTATCTTGGATGACAATAAGTACTTTATTTCAATTATATTAATCTCCATTTTTAAACATAGAATTGCATTCTTGAAAGGTTTGCACCTCACTGTTCTTGTGCTTGACATAAAATGCCTCAGTCTCGAAAATATTTGTGTAACAAATCCAATTAGTTAGTATTCTCAGTGTACTTCAAGAACATTATGCATTTTCACGTGTTCTCAAACTATTCTACGACAACCAAGATAAATTCTAATTTTGAGAATTTTTACTTTGACCTTTTTTTACTTTTAACTGAATCAAGTCATTGTATTAATTAAAAAGAGACAAACAAACTCAGTATACATATATTAATGCTTTACGAGCATAGTAAAGCAGTAAATTCCAGGACCTAATTGTACTAGATACATTTAATCACCCAAAAGAAAACTAAAAATTGGCTTTTAGAAGCAAAATGAAGAACTATTTATCCTTAAAAAATGCTACACATGTTTACCTCGACTTCATTTTTATTGGCATATTCAACAAAATTTCCATCTGCATCAAAATAACCTTCTTCCCTCTCCTTGTTCAAGTTGAAAGGTTCTATTTGAATCCCATCCTCAACAAAGTCCTCGTAATCCTGCCAAAAGATACCCCAATCATTGGCTATCCTTTCCATTGATCCAAATCCAATTAACAGAAGAATCTGGCAATCATCTCGACTCACAAAAATGCTGCCAATTCAGGAAAGAACCATTCCAAATTACAGATGTACTCCTTTAACAAAAAGCATGCAAAGCACTATTAATGATTGTGGAACTACTGACATATAAAAACAAATGTTTCCACCACAAGAAGATAATAATAAGGGTCAAATCACATGATTTGCATCTTAAGCAACAACACAGACTAGATGCCGTATCAGGGAAGTTTTCATTGAAAGCATCAGCGACAGGCACACAGCCTCAACAACACCATGTAAGTTGTAACTAAGAAGCGCATTGTTACAAAATGACAAATATAACACCAAAAAGAAGTAAAATTCTAAACTTCTGAGGAAACCAACCAAATGCAGTTCATATCAGCTACAAACTTCAAAGGTTCGAAAGGCTTATTCCCCAAAACAAAACGTGAGGAATGAATAGTTAAATGTGCACATGTTACATATGCACACACAGCTGAAGCAACATAGCATGGCATCAATACGAGAGCAGAAGTCAAACAACGCAAAAATGATAGTGATAGAAGAAAAACCACCGAACAACGAAAGCATTACTTTACTTGCAATGTCGAGAATTGCAAAGAAATCAATCGAATACAGAATATCACACACACCTTGTAAGAAACTTCAGCAGCAGAGACATCGTTGAGAATGCCCGCAGTCTCTTCACTGAAGAGCTCAGTTGTGATTTGGCTGCGGCGCTGGGCCCGTTCTTTGGCGGCAGAACGAGGGTCCGTCAATGGAGTCGGGCCAATCCCAACCCCAACCGCCTCCTCAGGTCTTCCTCTGTTTACGGCTTCATCTCCAGGCCTCGCCTTCTTCCCCTTGGGGAACCTAACCTTTTTTTGCCTGCACATGAACCCAAAAAATTTCCAGTAAAATGGTTTCCTGAGAAACAAACAGAAGCCACAACTAAATAAAGAAATAAATAATAGGTTGTCAATTAGGGTTTTGAGAATTGTTACGCTGGGGGTTTGTCGGAGCCGTCGTCTTCAAATAAAGGGCGTTTCAGATTGGAGCGTGAAGGATTGGATTCCATTGAAATTCAATCGACGAAATGGAAGCTTTTGGTTTCTTGTTAACGATTTTATGAGTATTCACTTTGAATCACTAGGTACAAGTTTTCTGACTTTGGGTTTGAACCGAGATTTTAATTCTAATTTACCCCTCATTTTCATAAATGTCAACTATAGTAAAAAGCTCACTTGAATAGACTCAATCACCCTCAAAACAAAAAACAATATAAACACTTATTCAAAATCTATGTAGTAGTTTGGAGTAATTATTCCCTCAAACAAGATTATGGGTTTGAGTCCTAGCATTCGTGTAGTATGTGTTAATTTAGTATATCAACTCTATCAATAAAAAAATATTCCTAAAAAAATTAAATTAAATTAAAAAAATTGGGAAATAATTGAGAAGTAATATTATTAAATTCCTAAATCATGTGCGACAAAATTAAAGAAACATGACGATTGTATTGGGGTTGATTTAATATGTTTTGCTAATTCTCCGACTTTGTCTAGCAGGGTTTTGGGGGTGGATTGTATTGTGGCTAGATGTGTTGTGGGATGGGTTCAATGGCATCAAGTTTTTTTTGTTGAAATCACTTTTATTATGAAAGAGAATAGGAGGGAGAGTGGCACAACCCGCTACACTACAAAGCCAAGAATGCAACCTCCAAAACAGCAAGACCACAAAAACAACTAGGGGTGGCATTTTGCACCGAAATGCCGCAAAACCGCGAAAACTAACCGCAAATATACCGAAAGGGGACCACTAATTGCGAAATACCGACCGCAATTTTCGATTTTGTACCGACCGCAATATGCCGGTTGAGGTTATGGTTTGAATTATTTAAAACATGCGGTTTTGAATACCGACCGCATTTATATATTATGCGTCTCTCTCCTCTTCTTTCTCTTTGTGCCAATCGTAGCCAACCATTCTTTCAAATGGCTTTGTTAGACAAAGGCATTCATTCACGTGGACTTGCCTACAATACAAGTCCAAAAAATATTAAAATATTTTATAAAAAATTATATTTTGACATTAATATTTTCGAAAACTCCTTCCTCTTCAACTCAGTGTTTCACTCTCTCCTTATCAAAACAAAGTGCCTCACTTTCTTCTCAACAACTCATCTTATCTTGCTCTCTCCGTCTCAACCTATCTCTTCCTCAATTTCAAGCTTCTCTCTCTATGGATTCTTCCTTCTTCTTCTTCTTCTTCTCTCTCTCTCTCTCTCTCTCTCTCTGTGCGGTTCTATTTTTTCTTTATGGTGGTTTATGGATGGTGGGTGGTGGTTTATGGTTGATGGGTTGATGGCTAACAGGGAGTTCTTGGTTAGGAGGCTTGGGGTGCTTGGATTGTTTGGGGTTGCTTGGATTATTTTGGTTGACACGACCCAATCAGTAGGTACCACTTTTTTTGCGAACACCAACCGCATTTGTAGTTCACTGAGTCGCGGTAACCTGCAATTATTCGGCCGGTTACGGCATCAAATTATACAATACCGCAAGTTATCGGGCGGTTTGCAGTTTCCACAAAAATTTGCAGTTACCATACCGCAACCCGCCCTAAAAACAACTAAGAAAACAAGCTTTGGTAAATAAAAAGGCAACACCACTCCTTTCTCATTATTGTAGCATCATAACAAGTCTAGAATTTTCACCCATGGGCGATTTTTCCTTAGTGCTGATCAGAATTCTTTTTTCTTTTTCTTTTCTTTTTCCTGAAAATTAGCAATAATTGTATTCAATAATTGGGCACAAAGACCAAATACTCATAAAGGGTTAATACAAAGATGGATCCACAGTAACGCCAAAGAGTTAAATCCAGATATAGGAGGATGTTGTGTGGAAACACTCCAAGACCTTGTTGTTGATGGACTATACGATGGCACACACAAACCCATTTGAGAATAAAACACACGCACACCAAAGAAAGAACGCAAACACACAAGATGTAAGACCCGTGTCTTGGGGAAACAAGAACGGTGAGTAATCCCACATCGCTCGGGGAGGGAAAGGTGAAGTGCCTTATATGTGTGGGCACTTCTCTTCCTAGCAAGAGGCCTTTTGGGCAAGATAGCATTAGCTTGAGCCCAAAAACAAAACCGTGAGGGGGGAGGCCCAAAGCGGACAATATCTTGCTAGGCGAGTCGGGTCGTAATAAATGGTATCAGAGTTGGACCCCGACGGGAAGTGTGCTAGCGAGGACACTGGGCCCCAAGAGGGGTGGATTGTAAGACTCTTGTCTTGGGGAAACAAGAAAGGTGAGCAATCCCACATCCCTCGGGGAGGGAAAGGTGAAGTGCCTTATATGTGTGGGCACTTCTCTTCCCAGCAAGAGGCCTTTTGGACAAGATAACGTTAGCTTGGCGAGCCTTAAACACCTTGTGAAAATCATTGACCCCTAGAACCTCTTCAAACCTCTTAGAAATCATTCTAGTAATTCTCAAGAGCTCCACCATGGCAAGAAACCCCTTGCCTTAACGCACCTTAAGTGAGGAGGTGCTCAACCAACATCCTTATTTCGATTCTATCCGTTCGAAAATCAGCCCTGGTTCACATAATTCCCTATTGTTATTATTAAAAGCAAGTAGGTGGTGCAACTTGAAAATCTTACACTAGATAGATACATTCCAAATTTCTAAGGGCTGCTTGCTTGGGTTAAATATTCATTAAAATAATCAAACATATTGCAGCTGCACATCTCTCTGTCTCTTATGTTATGGATTTGGTCTGCTCTGCCCTGCCCCACTTTTGAGTATATGAAGTGAAAATGTAAAGGTGAATCTAGGTGAAGTTTACATTTTTATTTTATTCTATTTGAAAAGGGTCCATTTTTATTTTATTCAGAGCTCTTCGAAGCTTGTCGCGCAAGAAACCTCAACTAGAATTACATACTATATCACCTCCCAGCTGATGATTACTAGTATCCATAGCAATATATGCTTCAACAGTTCATTTCATAAAATGGGCAAAAAAATATTCACAGACCTGAACTGACAATACACCGCAATAGGCAAAGAAATATTCAAGCCAAGGCCTCACCCGTGAGATAATAAAGTGCCACAGCCAACCAAAATGCCCTATATCTTACCATAGGCAACTTTCCCTCTGAAAAAAAAAATCCGCATTTACTTGCCCTAGGTAAATGTAATGAAAGCAAAATTCAGAAGGTGTCTTTTTGGGGATCAATGATTTAATTTTTCCTACCAAAAAAGAACATTATTAAGATGGTTTTCATTCATAAGTTTTGACTCTTATATAGATTCTTTGATTTTCACTCTACGTTTGGACTTAAGTCTCCCCAATTTTGTTTAGACTCTTATTTCTGTGACCAATGCACTAATCGTATTTTTTAAATTTTCTAGTTTTCTTTCATATGTTTAGACTCTTATATATATTTTGTGATTTTCACTCTATTAATTATAAAAGTCTAAATAAAATTGGGGAGAATTAAGTCTTAAAATAGAGTGAAAATCACAGAATATATATAAGAGTGTAAAAATATCAAAGAAAATCACATAATGCAAAACATACGATTAGGGCATTAGTCACAAAAATAAAAGTCTAAACAAATACATATATAATTATAAGAATGAAAGTCACAAAATACATATAAGAGTCTAAACATTTCATGTTTTATAATAAGTGCTTTATTTCAAAGGTGTAGAAGTGGTGGAGTCGGAGGACTAGGGGGAGTGTTTTGAATGCAGAATCCCGCTAGCCATTAAGTAGGTTTAGTCAGTTCACTAGGAAGAAGTAAACCATGAAAACAAAGCTTCATTTCGTTACATCGACTCCTTGACAGTAAGATCCCTTGCCCGCTTTTCCTTGGTACAAAACACCTCCATGGTAGAATTTTATGCTCCACATGCTATTGTACCCCCTAAAGGTCATAAACGTCCCCTCGGGCCCTCCTCCTCATAATCACCATCAAACCTTGTGTAACTAAGAGCTTCCCTTTTTCGACCTTGTATGAATACCCTTCTTTATCTAGAGCACCAAGGGAAATAATATTTCTTCTTAGTGCCGATACATGCCCGACCTCACTAAGTCTCCTAACAACGCAATCTTGCATCTTGATCTTTACTATTCCCACGCCTAAAACATCACAACTTGTTTTATCTCCCAACAGAATCTTGCTACCCTTCCTTTCCTCATATGTATCAAATACACTCATATTTGAATACACATGATAAGAGCATTTGGAATCTCAAATCCAAATTGAAGTAGAACCCCTTACCCGAAGAACTTGTCACGATGTCCCCGTTACACTCCTCATTTGTAACTGTCAAAAGTTCATCATAGCCGCGCTTGAACTTTCAGCATTCTTCATCTTGTTCCGTTTCTCCTTCCATACCGGACAATCCCGCTTCCAATGGTCCGTAGACCCACACTTGAAGGACCTTTCATTGTCCTTAAATTTAGGATTCCTCCAATTGCCTTTCTTGCCATTGCGCTTGCTTGAACAACCCAGCTCTCTAGTCCTTGTTAATAGACGTGACCTTGAAAGCTATCTCCAGAATTTTGAGTCAACTCGTGATGTACCAAGTCTTGCACCACCTCCTCAAAATTGAGAGTACTCTTGTCAATCATGAGCGTCTTCCGGAAGTGTTCTTAGGACGGAGGCAACGATGCCAACAGCATCAACGCCTCATCCTCCGTGCTATAAATCATGTATACCTTATGCAAGCCCGCAATACACCTATTAAAGGTGTTAAGATACTTTGTGAAAAATTTCCACCCTCATTCATCCGAAGATTTATGAGCTTTTCCTTCATGAAGTGTTTGTTTGATAAGGACATCCCTACAAACATCCGTTTGAGCTTTTCCCGTGTTTTCTTTGTGGTGTCTTCCATTGCCTTGATGGACCCCCTAGCCAACTACCAGAGTACGTCCCTCTCTTCCGTTGTCATGGTTTTCGGCCTTGTCTTCTAGCCTGCCAAGATAACGATTAGACCTTGCCAGGCTAGGTCATGTTTCATTCTCCTTTGTCAAAGCGTGAAGTTCTCATTCCTTGTGAATGTTTTCACCTCGACCTTCATGCTAGTCGTCTGTGGTGTTTTCGTTTGGGAGTTTTCTCTCACCTCCTTCTTTGTCGCCCGCCATCGTAAACACTCTT